CCAGGATTCACCGTTTCAGTCCTGAACACACATGTAGACCCCACATTGTTCACCTGCGCGTACGAGGATCCAGAACTGCTTTGTGAAAAATGAACAAGACCCACGGTCCTCCCACTGCTGTGTCTCAGCCAAGCGGACTAACACTGCTGAACGGACTTTCCCACAGTGACTCATCCAGGAAAAGACAATTTCATGCTTTCATTTTCTCTGAGCAGCGTAGGTGGAAAGAGGGAAAGAAAGCAAACTTGTTTTTAGGGTAGAAAGCCCACTGATTTGGCACTCTTCAAGGAACACAAAATTTTCCTGATTATTCTGAGAAATATTAGTTCCCTTTTTCTTTACTTCTGGAAATTGTGTTCCATAGACCATTACATAGAAGTCCCAAAATGTTGGACTATGTGCACATTTAAACTTAAGTTTGCTAACAACTAACCATATTTTGGGGCTTCCCAGGTGGCACTAGTGGTAAAGAACCCACCTGCCAATGCAGGAGACAAGAGAGATGCAGGTTTGATGATCCCTGGGTCGGGAAGATCCCCTGGAGGAGGGCATGGCAATCCACTCCAGTATTCTTGTCTGGAGAATCACGCACAACCATATTCTAAAACTGCTATCTCATGCTATCCAGAATGTGAGTACACACTTTGGGATGTTTCATTTCTCATTAGATCAAATCTTAATGAAATGAAGGAGGGTTCAGGCTTGTGGAGTGGGGTTTAAACCTGCCAAAGCCTGCTAGCACTAAAGAAGGAACTGACTACCTGTGAACATCCTCATTGCGTTAAGTAAAGGAAAAAAATGCATCCTTTAAGAGAAGTTGATTCTTAAGTATGGAATTAAGGCAGATTTTTAATTAGGGTCTATTTTGCATGGATCTGGACTTATTCGCTAGTTTCAAATGACAAGCCTCTAACCTTTAACAAAGGCAGCGTTTGGATACCTTGATCTCAGATCCCAACATCTCTTCTGTTAGCACAGAATAAAGTGATCTTGATGACATGAAGCAGAGAACTGAATATATTGCCTAATCTTTCAAACCCAGAAAAAAAATTTTGCCTTGACTTATCCAGGAAGTCCCCAGTTTTCTATTAAAATTCTGGAAGCCCAGGTCTGACAAAAGTCTTTCCTTTTCAAAATGTCTTAAGGGTAAAGTTAATTGAGTCGTCATCAGAATCTCTTCAAGTTCGATATGTTTAGTTAGTTTCCAGGTCACTAAGCACGTTTTTCTCCAGGAAGCAAATTCAGGAATTCCTTTGAACTCTTAGCTCCCCTCCACCACTACCCCCCGCAAAAATCAGCTTTTCTAGCCCACGTTTCTATCCCCAGTGGTCCACTCTCCATCAGAATAGCAAGACATGTCTGGAATAGAGGCAGAGGCTTTTGTTGAGACAGGCCACAGGGTAAACAGAACGCACCCAAGTGGAAGGCAGAGCACCTCCATCATTTGTAGCTGAACATTCCTTCCAAGGCTGGGCCATGCTTTCCCGGGATTCTACGGGCAGGAGGCTAACAGGCAGCAGAACAGAAAGAAGCACAAGTGTGCTGAAGGTGCAAGAGGTACGAGAGGAAACAGCAGGGGTGTCAGAGCCGGGGCCAGCGGAGAGGGAAGGCTGAAAACCTTCAAAGACAGACGCGAGGCAACCGTTTTCCAATGATGTTCTTTGTTAGATGTAAGGCGGGCTACCGCTGGGGAACCTGGGTCTGTGTCCTCAAACACAGGGGGTTTGTCCTCAAACACAAGGGACACTTCAAATCCTGAAAGGGGGCTCTCTTCCTTCCCCACCCAACTCAGATTGATGTGAGGCCTCAGCTCAGAGCCTGCAGCCGAGGAATGCAGGGCGTGCCTGAACAGAACACATCGGAATCCACACCTACGGGGTGCCGTTGACACTTGTGTTTACCCAGACTTCCATCCAGCCGCAGCCATGATCCAGGCACCTAGACCCAAACCCGAGGGTGGCACCCGGAGGCGGATGGTGAATGACTGCCACGGCTGAGTTAGTTCCTGGTTTAAACCGCTGGCTTATCTGGGCATGAAAACAGAAGACACACATGAGAATGCCAACTCTTTCCGTGAAGAGTTTTTGTTTAAACAGCCTTATAATCTCTAAAAATCCCTAATTTGTTAAGCCTCTTATCACTTTAGGAAAAAAAAGTGTTCACTAGCCCCATTTATGTATCTAATGCCACTCATTAGAGCTGACTCATTGGAAAAGACCCTAATGCTGGGAAAGATTGAAGGCAGGAGAAGGGGGTGACGACAGAGGAGGGTGGGATGGTTGAATGGCATCATTGACTCAGGGGACATGAGTTTGAGCAAACTCTGGGAGATGGTGAAGGACGGGGAAGCCTGGTGTGCTGTCATCTGTCGGGTCGCAAAGAGTCAGATACAGCTTAGCAACTGAACAACAACAACAATGCCTTAAATAGAAAATCTTAGAGCATATTTGCAAACTCAATGTAATACTCGGAACAACCAGTTAAGAGAGTCGAGGTCAGCAGCAAACTTTCTTTCTGTAAAGGGCAGGGAGTAAATATCTGAGGCTTTGTGGGCCATTCTGTCTCTGTTGCAACTATAAGACCCTGGTTGGTAGCCAAAAGCAGCTGCGAGGAAGTGTGTAAGCAAGTGAGTGTGTCTGTATCCCAAAGACTTCATTTATGGATGTGGAAACTTGCATTTCATATCATTTTCCTGTATCGTGAAACACTTTTTTTCTCAATTTTTTCCAACAATTGTCACCTTGTGGCTCAAATAAAAAGAGATTTGGCCAGCAGCCCATCATTTGCAGACCACCCCCCCAACGTAAGTGGTTGAAAGATGGCCATTGCTGGTGTCATGGCAACATCTGCAGGATGCAGCGCTCACGGAAAGGCAGTGAAGGGACTGGGAGGCAGAGCTGTAGGGCGCCCTGCTGCTCTTCGGATTCTAGGGCCAGCAACATCAGCATTCCCAGGACCCCACCCCAGACCTACAAAATCCACACCTGCAAGTCAACAAGACCCCTGTGTTCCTTGAAAGCTTGAAGGTGATACTGAAGTCTGAGAAGGCTGGAGAGTGTGATTTAAAGCCTGGGCTCTGAAATTAGAAGGTTTAAGTCAAGTCTTTGCATTTCTTATTAGCTACATGGCCTTGAACAAATCATCATCATTATTGAGGCACCTGTTTTCACACCTAAAAGCATGAGGATGATGATCCATGCCAAACATTCAGAAGTGTCTAGCAAGTGATGCTTATTAAATGATGGCTCAGTGCTAAAGAATCTGCCTGTAGTGCAAGAGACCCGGGTTCGATCCTGGGTTGGGAAGATCCCCTGGAGAAGGGAATGGCCACCTACTCCAGTATTCCTGCCTGGAGAATCCCACTGACAGAGGAGCCTGGTGGGCTACAGTCCATGGGTTCGTAAAAAGTGGGACACAACTGAGCAACTACCACTTTCCTGTTTTCGAGAATGGGTTCAAGAAAGTCAGGATCCACACACATACTTCTAAAGGCCACTTCCCCAAGGACAAGACGCATTTCCAGCCAGTCACTTGAGTCGAATGACTGAGACTCCAGTCCCCCACCGCCCCTACCTCCCCCATCAATTCCATCCATTAAAGAAAAGAAAGGCATCACAACTCCAGGCCGCAGAGTGTCAAATATATTGATGGTTGTAAAAGGACAGCTTAGAGACATTTTCGGTCTGCTGAGATGGCGTGCAGTATACAGACATGCTCTGTTTTTTGAAACCATGTCATTAAGTTTTCAAATACATCTCTGTTTTGAACATGATGTCTTGTTTTTTTTTTCATTAGCACAGTTTACTACTCTACAGATTCTCCTAGAGTAAATAAATATAATGGCTGTTTGCAGAGCAACTACAGATTTGTTTAGATGTTTAACAAGGTGAACTATTTCACAATTAGATCGACCTCTTGAGTTAACAGCAAGATGTTTTTCATTTGTTTTGTTCACTGCTCTAGTGGGTAGGGGGCGGGGGGTAACTTTTCCAATTTGTTTTCTGTTCACATGTTCAGTTGCCAACAGATTCCAAAAGGTAATGAAAAATAACAAACTGTTAAAAAATTAAATTGTAATTAGACCATGGGGTTTTTTTCTCCCAAGACCCTTACAGTCAGATAATTTAAATTTACAAGAGGAAAAAATAATACACATCATGGAAAACTAAGTAACAAAAAAACTACAAAAAAAATACATCCGTAGAACACAGTGGTCAGTTGTAAACAGCTCAGAAGGACAAAGAAAACAGACAGTCGTTCTAGAACGTTACGCAGTCCAATGACAAACTCTGCCTTTTTTTTCTAGTGGCTATTTTCCTACCACAGTGTTGAGCTTCATTATTATATTAAATAACTTATATGGGTAAAAAGGAGTTTGCTAACCAGCAGCCAACTCAAAACCTCATAGGAAGAGGGAAGAGGGGAATTCACAACACGGCCAGAGCTCAGGGAAACTAAGTCCGAGGTTGGCTTCCAGCCAGCCTGATCCCTCCGGGGCAATGCCACTGAGCTGCAGTTTGGGATCTAAAAGGAAGGCTTGCTTCCCCTCCCTTCTCTCCCTTTTTCTTTTAAGTTAACAAAGAAACATGGGCTTCCTAAGAGCCAGCCCTCAGCGGGGCAAGTCCCATTAGCAGCAAATGTTGAACCAAATTAAAAAAAAAACAAAAACAAAAACAAAAACACACACACACACACACACAAAAGAAAGCTCCATCCAGGTGCAGAGCTGTGATTCACATGGAAATTCCAGGAGATGAATCATTGCAGAGCTGGGACCCTTAGAGGATTCGCTCTCAAGTGTCCTCAGCGAACATTTCAGTCTCACAGAATCTGAGTCAATTGTCAGCTGCGGGGAGCAAGGTCCCCATCTGCTCGAGGGAGCGTGCTTGCAGGGACTTCATGGGTTTTTTTTGTAGCACAAGAGGCCTGAACACAAAGGCCAGCCCCTCGATGATCTATGTGATGCAGCGGCGGCGGCAGCAGAAACAGCAGCCCGTGTGTTAAACTCTGCCCAGGAGGCTGGATCTGAGGAAGGAAGAAGACACGATCAGAAGGAGGGCAGCAGATGATCTGAAGGAGGATGAAAATCCTCACCTAGCACTAGTTTTGTCTTTCCCGTGTTTGAAGCTCGATTTTTAAACATTTTACAGTAAGTCAGACAAATATCATGTGATATTACGCGCATGAGGAATCTAAAAAAATGACGCAAACGAACTGATGGACAAAACAGAAAAGGACTCACAGACATAGAAAACAAAGCAGGATTACCAAAGGGGGAAGCGGGGGAGGGATAAATTAGGACTTTTAGAGTAACATACACACTGTCCATGCATGCTGAGTCACTAATCCACTGGGATTTGCTATACTCAAGTTTGGGAATTTCTCCACACCTCTAAAGTAATAAAAGTATATAGGGTTGCTAAGTCACCTCAGTCATGTCTGACTCTGTGACCCTCTGGACTGTAGCCCATCAGACTCCTCTGTCCATGGGATTCTCCAGGCAAGAATACTGGAGTGGGTTGCCATTTCCTTCTCCAGGGGATCTTCCTGACCCAGGGATCAAACTCACATGTCCTGCATTGCAGGCAGATTCTTTACCTCTGAGTCACGGGGGAAGCCAACATATACACACTACTGTATATAAAATAAACAACAAAGACCTATACTCAGTATTTTGTAGTAACCTATAAAAAATCTGAAAAAGGATATATATATATATATATACATATGTATGTGTACACATATATAAAATCGAACTGCTTTGCTATACACCAGAAACTAACACAATATTGTAAATGAACTATAATAAAAAATAATTTAAAAATAAATTTTAAAAAAGGACAGAAAAACATTAAGCACTGAAGTCTTTCAGATTTTCTGGGAGGACTGCTAGTTCTGGTAGGTACATCATTTGAGAATTTGTTGTTGTTGTTCAGTTGCTAAGCAGTGTCCAACACTTTAAGACCCCAGTGTGTTAGGCTCCCCTATCCTTCACTATCTCCTGGAGTTTGCTCAGACTCATGTCTATTGAGTGATGCTCTCCAACCATCTCATTCTCTTTCATCCCCTTCTCCTCGTGCCCTCAATCTTTCCCAGCATCAGGGTCTTTTCCAATGAGTCAGCTATTCGCATCAGGTGGACAAAGTACTGGTGCTTCAGTTTCAGCATCAGTCCTTCCAATGAATATTCAGGACTGGTTTCCATTATGATTGACTGGTTTGATCTCCTTGCAGTCCAAGGGACTCTCAAGAGTCTTCTTCCAGCACCTCAATTCGAAAGCATCAGTTCTTCAGCACTCAGCCTTCTTTATGGTCCAGCTCTCACAGCCATACATGACTACTGGAAAAACCATAGCTTTGACTAGACGGACCTTTGTTGGCAAAGTGATGTCTCTGTTTTTAATGAGCCTTAGTATCCACTTGGCATGTGTGGTTTTGCAAAGAGCCATCGCATACTTCTTTTTATCCCCCGTGGGGGTGCTCTGCCTTGCCCAACACCTGCAATACCCTCAATGTCATTGCTCAGCAGCACAAGAGCATGCCCAGAGCTGCGGCAGACATGAGGGAGGAGCTGGTGCTCAGCGTGAGGGCTCACACAGCAGAAGGGCAGAGAAGAAACCGCTCCAATCCTTTGCCTATTACCACGATTTGTTCTAACGATGATAATTCCAATGCCTATTCCAACACCTTATCTCTCCTCTACAAGAGGTTCAAAGAAGGCCTACATTTTCCTTTGAAACAAAATCACACAAAAGCAAATATATCTTAGATACCCTGGTTCATAAAACCTAGCCCTGATCAAGTTTAACGAGGGCTCCCAAATGACTCTGGAAAGAAGAGAAAATGGGCCTGGTACCAAAAGGCACACGCTCCCAGAATCTCTCAGTAAAAATACACAAACAGCAATTTTGGTCATAGTAATTCCATATCCTGGGCTACTTTCGCCCATTAAAGCATCTCAAATGATTAAAAGACAAACTTCTCTATCCTAGTTTTGTTCAAAAACACTAATAGAATAAAAAAATGTTTAAAATTTGAAACGATTGTGGATTACGTTTCAAGTCCTAACTCTCTCTCAAACCAAAGAGGGGACCAAGATCTAGGCAATAAGTGACACTCTCATATTTACTGAACCAACTGGTCTTTTTTTATCTCAGGTCAAATAAAATTTTAGTGTTAGAACAATTCTTATCTTTTAGATGAAGAAAATGTGTCAGAGGCCTTTTTAACACACCATGGGGCAATTTCAGTTCCTCATCCCATAAAATACTGGGAGAGAAAAAGCAGCACAGAGTCATTGTATATCTGTCAGTATTTAAAAAAAAAAAAAGAGCAATAAAACTGAAGGATGGCAATGAAGATTTCGAGCCACAAAGATTCAGTAAACAAGAGATAAGCTACAGAGAGGGCTCGCAACACGCAGGCAGGGACTTCCTACAGCAAGCACGTGGCCTTTTTCACTTAAGGCCAACATGTTTAGATTTGCACGGCGATGAAAAGCCATGAGACTTACCTTAAGGACTTCCATCTGTCTTTCTCTATATGATTTTCAGGTCCTTCACTTTCATAGGAAGCCAAGTAGAGAGCTACAATCAACCAAAAGGAAGAATGCATGAATGCTGAAGCCTTCTTCCGATACGTTACCCACCTCCACTCATCCCCCATTCAACCTCAGCGAAACCCTACAGCAAAGCACACTCTTTGAAACATCGAATTACCATTGGGAAGCTTTAGAAACACAGGACACCACTTTGCCCCTGCTGAACCCTCTCAACAAAACGCCAGGGGCCTCTAGACCAAACAAGTACTTGGTTACCTAAGACAATTTATTATTATTTTTTAAAGGGATACTTGTGAAAGACATACAAAGTCTGACATGACCATAGCATTTCTCCAAGGTTCTATTTTGTTAAAGCTTATTTATATGTATATATTTACATTTATTTATTTTTGGCTGGCCTGGGTGGGCTTTTTCTCTAGCTGCAGCAATTGGGGGCAACTCTCTGTTGCAGTGAGAGGGCTTCTCACTGTGCTGGCTTCTCCTGTTGCAGAGCACAGGCTCTAGGATGTTCAGGCTTCAGCAGTTGCAGCACGTGGGCTCTAGTTGCGGTTCCCAGGCTCTAGAGCACAGGCTCAATAGCTGTGGAGCACGGGCTTGGTTGCTCCACAGCACGTAGGATCTTCCCGGATCAGGGATTGGACTCCATCTCCTGCACTGGCAGGCAGATTCTTTACCACTGAGCCACCAGGGAGGCCCGTAACTCAGACAATTTTTGAGGCAAGAAAAAGCTTATAAAGGCAAGTCACAGGACTGGAATATACATTCACATTTATACTCTTTACAAAAAGGGGGAATGGGATGGGGAGCCTTTTCTGCTGGATTTATTTATCTATTTGGCTGTGCCGCGTCTGAGCTGTACCACATGGGATCTTCAGTCTTCACTGTGGCACATGAGATCCAGTTCCCTGACCAGGGATCGCAGCCAGACCCTCTGTACTGGGAGTACAGAGTCTTAGCCACCGGACCACCAGAGCTTTTAAAAAGACTCCTGGACCCCGTTAGCTTTTTAAAAGACCTTTTAGCAGGTAAAAAGTTAGGGTTTTTAGGTCAATTTTTCACTTTTCTAATGTTTTTCATTTTAATTTTAAGTCAAAAAGATTTTCAAAGCTTTAAAGCTTGGTATTAATCCTGTCTTCAGAGGTTAATAACAATCAAGCCCCCTGGAATAGATCTTATTAATTCAAAATGTTCTTTAGTCATTATCATAAACACCATCAATCTACCATGAGAAACAGTTAATAGTGCAATTGATTTGTATAATATTAGGCTATAATAGAGTAATATAATCAATTCCCAAGTCTTTTACGAACTTTAAATATCTTGTCAGTTTTTTTGGTACACAATCACTGTTTCTGCCTCAAAGTCCCTAATGTTTTAACAGGTTAAGACTTTTGATGGTTTATGTTTTACAAAGAGCAGCGGGTAGCAGCTGCTTTGTTTTTCAAGTTTGTCTTAAATATCAACATGTCATGAAACACCTTTTTTCTCCATTAAAGCAAGCCTGCACAAGGGGAAAAAAATCCCTCAGTAACTTTCCATTTGTGCCCCAAAGCTCTGCAGATCTAACATTCTAAAAATTTGTTTAAACCAGAAATGTGCTATTTGTGGGTGAAGAGTGAGTGAGTGCCTGACTCAAATATTTTAGGGATAAATCACAGTTTTTTGAGCAACAGAAAACTCAAGATGGAACAGGTCAGAAGACAGGCTTCATACTACATAAGGAACCAGACACCAAGCACTTAATACATTGATTCCTGATCATAGGATCTACAGATCCTGGTAGGGGTCACGGCTTAACAGGCTACCCACCGTCTTCACTGAAGACTGGTACTGTGAGCAGATACTGTAAGATCTTCCGGTCCCTCTCAAATGGACACTCCACTTGTTTCCACGTCATGAATTCACTCACTTGTTTGGCCAGTTCCCAAAATTTCTACGAAAGAATCAAATGAAAGTTGAATTGAAAGGCAGTTGTCAAAAATCATGAGCTTGGATGAAACCACTCCATTTAATGTTCTCTTCTGGCTTCTAATCTTCTGAACTACACCATTTTCTTAATTTAAGAAAAATCAGCTATTGATATTTTTAGGTAGTGATGAAAAGTTACTCAAATATCTCTGGATAAGAATAATAATGGTGTAGCTAATTTATTCTGCTCAGCACTGTTATCTTCTCACAGATTAGCAAGGAAAGAGAAAACTTGGTTTGAGAACTTCAGAATCAAGCTCAGATGGCCTGGCCTCTCTGCTCTTGGTGGAGAGGCTCGTTCTCTGCGCTCAGATTTTTGCAGCCTACCCTTACCTCAAAGTTGACATGGCCGTTGGGAAGGCGGTTGGCACAGCCCTCATTGAGGAAATAAATATCTTTGATTAACAGACTGAAGAATGGTATCACAATCTAGAGAAAACAAAAAGATTCTGGTTTGTTTTGGGCAAATAAACATTTAGTCTCTCATCAAACAATACCAGATGTTAATGAAGGGATTACATCGTTGCTGTTCAGTCGCTCAGTCATGTCCAACTCTTTGCGACCCCATGGACTGAAGCACGCCAGGCCTCCCCATCCCTCCCCATCTCCCATAGTAGGCTACCATTGATTAGGACGGGTGCAGTGTTTTGTTGACTTCCCATGACAGCCATTTCCTTCCTTACATAATTTTTCTGAACACGCAAACGCTGTTAATAACCAAAGCGAAGCAAAGATGAGTGGCACTGGGAGGTGGATGGCTTCAGGTTGTTTTCCCTATTTTTCTAAACATAATAGAATATAGTAAAATCTGAACGTTCCAGTTACAACCAAAGGGACAAGATCTAAAGGACTCTTCATTCAGTTAGAACCAAATATTAATAGAATACCTGCTGCTGCAGGTACTAAGATTTTTTTTTTTTTTAATGTTTATTTGGCTGTGCTGGGTCTTAGATGCAGCACTCAGAATCTTTTAGTTGCAGCCTATGGGATCTAGTTCCCTGGCCAGGGCTTGAACCTGGGCCCCTTGCATTGGAAGCGTAGAGAGTCACCCACCAGACTACCAGCAAAGTCCCACAGGTACTAAGATTTTAAAATATGTGACCCATCTCTCTGTGAGGATCTATACTTTTTCTATCATTTACATCTATCATTTACATCACATCTACATTTCAGATGATTTTTCTTTTTAGAGGAACATTTTCTTTTCCATTGAAGAACTGAATATATGCTCAGTCATTCAGTCGTGTCCGACTCTTTGTGACCCCATGGATTGTAGCCCACCAGGTTCCTCTGTCCATGGAATTTTCCAGGCAAGAATACTGGAGTGGGTTGCCATTTCCTCCTTCAGGGGATCTTCCCAAAACAGGGATGGAACCTGCCTCTCCTGACTCACCTGCATTGACAGGTGATTCTTTAACACTGGGCCACTTGGGAAGCCCCTTCTCTTGAAGACACAGCTCAAGATAACATGAGAACTGGGAGTTTTGAGTAATAGTTGCTACAAACTTCCTATTAAGCAAATCTGGCCTTGTATGTCAGAACAAGTAAACACCTGCTCTCTTGGGAAAGCACCAAAGTAGTATAATACGTTGCACAATATGTTGTGAGGGAGGCCCAGGTGAGAGGGGAATATGAATGTGCAAATTAAGAGTTGTTTTAAACAATGAGCCTTCTTTAGTAAGCCTTTCCTGCCTTACATCTTTCCTTTGAAAGACTGGTATTTAACGAATTAACCTAAAATTATAATCTCTGAGACAGTATCCTAATTCCTGCTAAATCCAGAAGGAAAAAAGAATAAGACTCTCTGTTCTTCTCCTTTGTAACTTCTACTTTCTCTCACATGCTAACATGCTTTTGAAGATTCTAAGTTTGCGACAGCGCAAAGAATGCTGCAAACACCCGTGGGTGGGCCTATGCTGTTTACCCAAGAGCAGGTTTTTGAAGTTTCCCTAAGCTTAGGACTCACGTGGTACATCTATACTAGATGAAGGGGAGGTCTGGAAAACATATGTTTTGGCTCATACACAAAAATATTAGCAGACATTTTCAGTTCTAGAAAGAAATTCAGATTTTCCCCTAAAGTCATTTAAAAAAGATAGGCTTTGATTATTTTTTTTGTTTTGCTGATTTCTTGATAGCACTTTTGAATGTACTTCCTTATTTATTTTATTCTTTTGGCTGCACTCGGTCTTTGTGGCTGCATGGGCTTTCTCTAGTTGCAGTGAGTAGGGGCTACTCTCGAGTTGTGGTGTGTGGCCTCTCTTGTTGTGGATCAGAGACTCTAGGCAAGCAGGCTTCAGTAGTTGTGGCTCACGGGCTCAGCTGGACCTGAGGCATGTGGGATCTTTCTGGGCCAGAGATCAAGCCTGCGTCCTTTGCACTGCAAGGCGTATTCTTAACCACTGGACCAGCAGGGAAGCCCTGAATTATCTGCTACTGTCTGGAAGTCTCTAAACTGAATTCGCAAAGGTCCCTTCATAACGTTCTCATGATATTACTGGCTATTTTTTCTATGGTTTTAGAACTAAACAGCCATCACAACAAGGATAAAAGGACACCTGCACCTCACTTCTTTGCAAGATGACCTGTGCCTGCAAGGTGTTGGGCTTTGCCTCTGCCAGGACTCAGTTCCAAATCTGGCTCCACACTTGACTGGCTATATAAGCCAGGAGTCTGCCAACTGTGGCCCACAAGCCAGCCCATCTCACCACCTGTTTTGGAATGGCCTAGAGGTCATGCATTTTATATTTTTAAATGGCTGGGGAAATAGCAAAAGAATGATACTTCATGAGCATGAAGTTAAAATTCCAGTGTCCAGACAGCTTTAGTGGGAAAGAGTCACGTTCGTCCACTCACCTGCACATCAGCTATGTCTCCTTTCGTGCCACTGTGTCTGAGTTCAGCAGTTACAATAGAAACTGTGCAATTTACAAAGCCTAAAATATTTATGATCTGGTCCCTAAGAGAAAAAGTTTGCCAACCCCAGGTATAAGGCTAACATACAAAGAAAGCCTAGTTTCTTCACTTTAAAATGGAAACAGTGCCTCATCGAGTTGTGGCAAGGATTAAATTAAATAATACAAAGCTTGATCTCAATTAAGCATCCCTCTCAAACCCATGGGCCCCATACAAGGGGACAAATACTGCTGATGGATCATCATAAGGAAAATGAGGACTGAATTATAATTAAGGTGGACCTACATATGGTACTGATCACTCACTGTCTTACAAGGATATATATATATATATATATATATATTTTTTTTTTTTTTGTCTTACAAGGATATTTAAACTGTTCAGAAGTTCTTGTCATGTGCCTCTAGCTAGGTGGCAGAGGCTATAACATATGTGAGTTTTGCATTCATGGTGTGTGCCATACAATCCAGTCTTTTTTTAAAAATAAAATTTACTTAAACCAGAAAAATACAAAGAACAATTCACCTATTTTCCCCATCCCCTACCTCATGTCTCTGGCAACCATCAATCTGTTCTCTGTATCTTTAAGCTTGTCTTAAAATAAAAAAAAATTTATATATATATACACATATGTACGTATACATATACACATATAGATCTCACATAAAGAGAGATCATATAGTACTTGTCTTTCTCAATCTGATTTATTTCACTTAATGTCTTCCAGTTTTACCCATGTTACCACAAATGGCAAGACCTCATTCATTTTAATAGCTGAATAATATTCTATTACATATACAATGAATAAATTGCAATATGTACATATTTGTATGTATATATTTTATATATATGTATGTGTGTATATATATATTATACATAAATTACAATTTCTTCATCCATCAGTGGACAAGATTGTTTTCATATCTTGGCTTTGTAAATAATGCTGCAATGAACACGGGGTACATATATCTTTCTGAATTATATAGTGTTTTTTATATACTTGGATAAGTACCCAAAAGTGGAATTGCTGGACTGATCCACTATTGATTGTCAGAACTACTTTTCCAAGATGCAGCAACAGAAATAATCTCCCTTATTGTTCCTGCTCTGTTCCTGACGCCCATATGCTAGACAGAGCAGTCTCACAATCTCCTTCACCTTCTCATTTCCTCAAGAATGGTTCCCTTCAGATCGGCAGCCCCTATGCAAATCCACCACAGTAAAAATCAGACTACAAGGACTCTGGATTTCCAGAGCTAAGGTAAACATACAGGTTACTAACAGGAACAAAAGTTTGGTTTCTGAGAAGTCTTTCAATGAAGGCTTTAGTGGGAAAACCTCTCAAGTAGTAATGTTTCCTAATTCCCCTTCACAATATTCTAAATTGAGAAACTTGGCAGCTACACCTTAAAGGAGTTATCAGTTCCACACCTAGAAATGAATGGTGATGAGGAGGAGTAAGTTCCCACGATCAGAAATGGGATGGTGACAGTATTTAAAACCATACACTCGCATGAGGAGTGGTTAAAAACCAGGAGACACAAGGACTCATAGGAAAAACAGCTACTTAAGGATCATTTAACGGCCCCTATGTGACAGATAGATTTAATCTGTTCTAATGTGGTTCCTACAGAGAAACCACACTGGCCACATAAACACAATTCAAAGAATATCAAAGATTGCATTACTCTAGCCGTGTTGCCAGGAAGACTTTAAAACAGGCAATAACTCAGAGTTTACCCTCACTTCAAAAAAAGAAAAAAAGGATTCCAATTCTCTTGAATCAAAGATGGCTCTTGTCCCCCAAATGCTTTCATTCACAGACTTGGAGGGCAACTGTGAACGAGAAATGTCATATTTAAAAAAAAATTGGTGGTGATACCATTTGTTTTATTAACTGGAGAATACAATCCATATGCTCAGACAGAACTGGTTTAAGAAAATAATGAAATTAAAGTCAACAGAATTTATTCAATGACAGAAAGGGTAAATACTGTTTTTCTGGAAAAAGCTATCAGAGTCCCACAGGTATAACACTCACTGAGATCTTAGCTGGGGGGCTGGCCAGTGCTGCAGCTCCAGGCTAGGGGCTTCCCAGGTGGTTTAGTGGTAAAGAACCTGCCCTCCAACGCAGGAGACACAGGAGACTCGGGTTCGATCCCTGGGTTGGGAAGAACCCCTGAAGGAGGAACTAACAACCCACTCCAGTATTCTTGCCTGGAAAATCCCATGGACAGAGGAGCCTGGTGGGCTATAGTCCATGGGGTCACAGTGAGTTGGACACGACCGAGCAACTGACTGGACCTGTACAAATGCAGCCAGCTCCCGACGGAGAGAGATGATTCTACAGTCACTTCCTCCCTAGGACAGAGACCCCTCTAACTCACAGAGGTCCTGCAGAGAAAGCCTTGCACCTTCAGGGCACTGGTATCCTCCCACAAGTGTGCTCATTTTTGAAGCTTAAAAAAGCTTCTGATTAGATTTTTCTCAATCTAGTCATGGAGTACTGAGATGTGGAAAAGCAGTACTTAAAAGCTCATACAGGGACTTCTCTGGTGGTCCCCTGGTTGAGACACCACCCTCCCAATACAGGGGACCTGGGTTTGATCCCTCGTCAGGGAACTAGATACCACATGCCACAACTAAGACCTGGAGCAGCCAAATAAATAAACATTAAAAGAAAATAATAATAATAATAATAATAAAAGCTCATATACTCCTTTGGGCTACATTGAGATAGTTATCCCTGCCTCATCCCTACTGTGACCTTGCTGCTTTATATAAAAAGTTAATGTATTTATAATAGCTCTCAAACATGATCAGAACCAATATTTTAGATTTTGGTGAGAAGCAATTTAGTGTGCTTAAAAGGTGGGGTTTCTTTTTGCATTTGTTTTCATTTTAGATCATGGAGGCTGAAGCTTTTGAGGGTGAGTGACTAAGAGGGCCTAAAGTTTTGTATCCTCATTTTCTTTAATTTGTTGGAGCATACAGTTTAAGTTAAAAGATGGGTAGAACCTAAGCAGAAAATAGTTTTCACCAAGCAACCTTAATTAGCCCATTTACTGTATTTACTTCTCAAATAACATGACCTCCTGCTTCCCATGTATGAAATGTGGGTAAAGGCTCTTCCGAGTCAGGAGCAAGGCTGATCCAGGACAGTGTGAAACTATTTAAGGGCAGGGCAGGTAGAGTGAAGACCATTCATTTCTCAGACATCATCCTGGCACTTTCTCCCCCACCCACATACCCAATTAGTAACAGCAGGCCTAATGCTACAGCAACTAACCTACTTTCTGAAAATAAATGACTTAACCATGGGAGGTAAGCTAATTCTTTAAAAGATTACATTAAGTCAGCTACCTTGTGCTGAGCTTAAATGTCTGTATTCCATTAAATCAAATTACTCTCTAATGCCATTAGTCATCTTAACATAGGACTTAATTTATTGCTTGAAACACAACTATGACACATTACAAAATAATCATTTAAATAATGTAATAATAACATTTGCAAAGCTCTCTACCAAGTTACCTTCCCCTTTCCTCCTTCTTTAGCATCCCCCCTCCCTATGTGGCAAGTGATAAACATGTCTACAGCATATGAACTTTCTTTCTTAGATCTAAACAGGTAAAAGCTGAGTACAGAGCATTTCAGGGCTTCTCTGGAGGCTCAGTGGTAAAGAGTCTGCCTGTAAGGCAGGAGCTGCAGGAGACATGGGTTCAGTCTCTGGGTGGAAAAGATCCCTTAGAAGAGGGGATGGCAAGCCACTCCAATATTCTTGCCTGGAGAATCCCCATGGACAGAGGAGTGTTCGCAAAGAGTCAGACACAACTGAAACGACTTAGCACGCATGCACACACAGTGCATTTCAGTGCAACACGTTGCAACTATGCCATAAATAAAACTTGTTTAAACACATACCTTCTCTCTGCTGCTATGAGCAGTTAAAGACCTTTGCGCTGCCCCACGAAGAGCTGTTCGATAATTATAGAAATTGCTCGAAGGGTCCATTTGATGCTGTAGACAAAAGAGAGGAGAATATTAACTACACACTTCTCACCTGCAGAAAGTTTAAGAGATCATACTTTAAATGCTGGATTCAAGAAGTCCAAATAATTCCGGGGGCAAAATGTTACTTAACTGCAAGAGATCTGCTTCACATACCTCAAGAACATCGAACTTGGCAGTCTTCACTTTGGCCCAAGTTTTTTTCAGTCGAGAGACGGGGCTCATGTTCATGCCAGCTTGCGATTACAATGGGAGGCGAGAAAAAGAAAGTGGAAACAGAGAAATCAGAGAAGTCATTCTAAGGTACATTCTGAAAAAGTGTTCATTACTAAGTGAAAGGAAGTTAGCTTTATTTAAAAAAAAAAAAAAAAAAACTTGCCAAATGATTTTCCAAAGTAGTGGGCCCATTTCACAACCCCACCCAGGTCTGAGAATTCTACTTGGTCCATAATCCTCACAATATTTGGTTCAACCAGTCTTCTTAATTTCAGTCACTCCAGTGTGTGAAATGTGTTTCACTGTGATTCTAATTTTAATTTGTATTTCTCTGATGACTAGTGACGTAGAGCTTCTTTTCATATACTGTCTGTCCATCAGTATATCTTCTTTTATGAATTGTTCATGTATTTTGCCCTTGTTTTCATTGGGATATTTGTCTACATAGTGTTGCTCTGTAGGGTCTTTTATAGAGTTTGAATACAAGTTTTCAGTTAGATGTATTACAAATACTTTCTCCTGTGGTATAAATTGCCCTGACATTTTCTTAACAGTACAAGAGGGAAATTAGGTAATCTCCAATTACCTAGACTGTGGACCTTTCAAGTCCCTGATTTAGATGACCTTTCTGTTCACTATTTTTGTGCAGTAAACCAGATAATGAGCTGAAGATTCACCAGTTATTTTTATGGGGGAAACGAGGAGGAAAAAATATTTTTTTTTAAGAGAAAAAGGGATGCGTGAGGGGGGTTATTAAAATTAAAATTATTGAATTAAATTCAGTAGATTCTCTGGCTTCAAACTGACCCTGATTCTAAAGAGCCAGGTAAATATTCATATATTTACTGAGTACTTATAATGTGTAAGATAGCCATATTGTTTATCATATAAATCAGGACATTTTAAATGAAACAGTCATAATCAATAATCATAGCAAGAAAACAGGTGTAAACTGGAAAAAAACAAGACACAGTGTTAGCCCCATGCCCTATGTTTACTGAATGAATAGTCGCTGGCACTAAAAACCCTTGTGAGGCTAATGAGGTCAGCAGATGACAAGTACTAGGAACACAGGTAGTCAGAAAATGTTCCAGTTTCTCAGGCCACCCTCTTGTCTTACCAGTGGAATCACTTGATTTACTCTCAGATCACATGTTTCTATAATGCTCAATACACAAGCTGTTCAAATGCTCAATACACAAGCTGTTCAAACGCTTTCTAAAATCCTTAATTTAGGTAAATATCTTTTATAGATATTCAGATGAAGATAAACTAACTAAACATATTCCATGAATTCTTATACACTTATAAAAGATTAAACATATTTGTGTCAGTTTGTATATTTAAAGCTTTCTGATCATTCTGAAACAAGTCTGGATTAATGAGTAGTTTTCATGAATAAAACTGTACTATTTGCTAATTCTTAGTGGGTCCATTTCGCAGAACCTATACAAACAAAGGACACGTATCTCTCAGAAAACACTCACAGATTATTGCCATCAAGGAATTGAAGTTGCCAATGTTAAAACACTCCCGAGCCACGTCAATGAAATACTCAATCATCCTTGCTCGATGCTTCTTCTTTACAGGCTGTATAGAACGAGAAAAAAGAGAGCAGTTGTCCAACATGTAGGCCCAACAAATATAAAGGAAGTATGAAAAAGTAAGATAGAGGGCTGGGAGACAAATTCATTTTCTCACCATGCAGATTTCTGTAGCAACCAAGTAGCTGAGGCGATTAAACCATTCTACGTAGGCTTCTAAGTTCCGTGTTTTCTTCCGTTCACTGTAGCAACTCTATTGAGAAAGTAAAATGAGCAGATGAGTTGAAGGAAAAAAGGGTGTATGAGGCTCTTGTTTTTGTCAGATATGGGCCTTTATTCTCAGTTTACGAATTAGGAAGACTTTTGAGGATGTGCGGGAGCAGCAGGGAGGGGAAAAAGAGAACAAATCACTAATAGTCTTGACTCTCCTGCATGTGTGTGTACTATGTCACTTCAGTCCTGCCCAGCTCTTTGGGACATTCATGGTCTGCAGCCTGCCAGGCTCCTCTGTCCCTGGAATTTCCCAGGCAAGAATACTGGAGTGGGTTTCCAGGCCCTCCTCCAGGGGACCTTCCTGATCCAGGGATCGAACATGCGTGTCTTAGATCTCCTGTATTGGCAGACGGGTCCTTCACCACTAGTGCCACCTGGGAAGCCCATGACTCTCAAGACAGAAATATCAGTCTCTTAGTATAGTCCTGTGAAAACCTGAAGATCTAAAATCCTATTCTGCTGCATTCATGACAGTGCCTTCTCTCCCAGGAAACCAAATTAGTCTGGGTGAGAATGGTTCTCAGAAGCACCATTCCAAAAAATTATATATATATATATATATGTATGTATGTATATATATATATATGTGTATATATATATACACACACACACACAGGAGAAGGAAATGGCAACCCCCTCCAGTATCATTGCCTGGAGAATCCCAGGGATGGGGGAGCCTGGTGGGCTGCTGTCTATGGGGTCGCACAGAGTCGGACACGACTGAAGCGACTTAGCAGCAGCAGTATATATATATATATATATATATATATATATATATATATGTCTTGGCTGCATTCTAAAATGATCTTGACCAATTACTAGGGGTGTGAATACCTACTGCTATTCACATAGCATGGAGAAGCTGAGAGTGCAGAGGTCTAGAAAATTTTCCCTTAAGTCTAGGAGACAATTTTGGAACACTGTGTAGCAAACACTAGTATCTTCCAAGGTAGGTAAAGAGGAAGTTTACACCATCCTGGTTTTTGGAGAGTGACACATTGTTCAAAAGCAAAAAGAAGTTAAGCTCATCTCAGAGTTCAAGGCCAAGCTTAAACAGGCTTACTACACCCCTCTTTCCTTCCTTCCAAATGAGGCAAACAAAAAAGTCCACTAGCCTCTATTGCAAAACCTGATCTTCACTTCCTGTACTGAGCGAAACTATTCTAAGGCCGGAAAACAGCTGCTGCCCCTACTCTGAAAGAGGAGCTCTCATTAGTGGGTGATACCGTCTTTGCCTAATACTTCTGGAGGTAACGAGAGGAAAAGTTTCTTATGTGTGTGTACGCTGATCTTACAGCCGTGTGTACCATCAGTTTCTGACTATATGGGCTTACTCAGGCAATAAACCTGTCGTGAGGGATTCACCTTAAAACAAGAGGCAGAGCAGCGAAGACCTGTCCTTAGCACACTGGACATGCATCCTGTCTTTACCGCCCCTGCTACTGCTGAATCATGAGCCGAGCATCCTCTCGTATTTTCTCTCTGACTTAATCTGCTAAAACCATTATCCTTTATCTCCTACCTTCATCACCACAAATGCTTGCATCTACTTGCTTATTAAATTTCCCAATAAGGAGAAAAAGAGGATAAAAGTTGGTGATAGGGTAAGAATTCTGTTATGGCACTTGGAGATCAGACTCAAGAATAAAAATGCGATGACTCAGACATGGCTGGAAAAAAAAAATCTTTCTGAGGGAGTTTCCTGGTGGTCTAGTAGTTAGGATTAAGACTGTGTGCTTCCACTGCAGGGGGCATGGGTTCGATCCCTGGTTGAGGAACTAAGATCCCACATGCTGTGTAGGATGATCCAAAAAAAAAAAAAGGCTCGTGCACAAAGTCCAGGCATACCTCAGAGATATTGTGGGTTTGGCTCCAGACTACCGCAATAAAACAAATATCGCAATAAACAGAGTCACATAAATTAAAAAAACAACAACTTCCTGATCTCTAAAACCTAAAACAAAATTGTTCCAATTTCTGTCTCTCATACCCACTATCATGGACTAAAGAATTCCATTTCCAATTCGGGAGATAGCCTCTGGGTAGACCCGTTACCTTGTCATTGTCCAAAGGGTCCTTCTGCACAAAGGCCTGAACAAATTCTTCTGGGCCAATGTAATTGAGCCTCTCCTGAAACACAAACCCAGCAGGTCAACAGTACTGAAGAAAGGGAGAAGGAATGGTCTTTCCATTCTATTACTTTCTGCCACTATCCTCATTTTTAACAGGCAGCTTGTAAAATGAGCCTTTAACCTTCAAAACCATCATCATCTTTACGATCTGAGCAGAGACAGTTTTCTGCTTGGGTCAATGTATACTACAAAATAAAAGGCTGAGCAAGTTATGGAAAAATTCATTAGAGGGGGAACATGAGGAAGATCAATAACCTCTTCGCTCTTGCTTAGTATTTATTTTAAAGTGAATTCTCAGAATATCAGAAACAGTCATACGCAAATATCTAAACAAAACATGCTGCAGCTATTTCATAGATTAGCTCCCATTTGGGTTATTTTCACCTCTCCCTTGACATTACTGCTGAGAAACATGCTATCTGGTTACCACGGCAAACCAAGTCTGGGTTATAAAGAACAAGTATGACAAAGGCCTCACCAGCTCTATGTGAGTCAGCTGCTGGGCCAACGTGTAAGGGTCACTGCAGACCGTGATGATGTCCCTTTGGATGGACTGTGGCTTGGTCTTGAGGACTGTGAGTCGATCCGTCGACGTGGAACTGATTTTGGCCAGCACCTCTTCGTACTGGCTGAGAGCGGCCAGCTTGCGGATCAGACACTGGATCATCTGCTGGACATTCTTCCGATACGTCTGCCAGGAAACAAGCAAAGGATGACCTCCTCGCGCCGCGCCACAAACTCAGAGACTGTACTCGATGCTTTTACTTTGATGCTGGACAGCCGCCTTGGTGGACGGCAGTTAGAGGATTCAGCTTTGCTCTAACAATTTAAAAGACACATATACATATGGTGTCTTTTCAGACCTGTAAGATTTAGTTCTTTCCTTGGGCTGCTCTTGAGAGTGTGACTCAAGTTGGGCCATGAAACTACCATAATGAATATTTTCGATGAGCTATTGAGGGAATTCCATATAATAGGAACCGCATACAACTAATGTTCTCTGGACTAAAATAGGAACCTACTGGTTTTCTTCTGTGAAGATGCACAGATCTCAAGTCAGAGCATCATTTTCCTAATTCTTTTTCTTTAGGCCCACCTTCTTGATTTTTCTACTTCTATCATTCCCGATCTCATTCGTCTAAGTACAAACAACTATTTGAAAGAAATACACCATCACTTCCTACTCAGCCCCTAACCACCTTCCTGACTTCCACATATGACATGAGTTCCCACCAAAAGAAGCATTGGATATTCCTTTTTGGTATCTGACCTCCATTTGGCTCATGTCTGTTTCTTCTGCACTCCTGAGTCTGTGCTAATGTTTACAATCAAATTATTTCACATGGCAATTCTCCCTATAATGCTACTACCAGCTGTTGCCTGGTTTGTGACTACACCGTGCTATAGCTACGCACTTAAGATAAATTAGTATTAAAAGCAATGCACATATTATAGATAAATGTTAGCCTCTTGACTTTTAAAATAGTTACTAAGTCCAAAAAATAACTCCACAATCAATCCATAGGGGGCAGTTATCATGATGTAAGTTAAGGGTGTTCTTTTATTCTTCCTTTCCAGCCAGACATTGCCAAACACTTAGCCATCTAAGTAAATTGTGACGCTGGTATCACAGAAAGGCACACAGGCTAATTCATTGCTAGTGTGGTCCTTAAGTTAAAGCTCCAAAGGAGGACAGTCCCAGTGAATTTCCAGATGAAAATCCTATATCCATGCTTTACTAACTTATCAGCTCCTTTTCAAAAAGTACCACAATAACATTTTCTGAGATTAATTACCTGAAAATTAAATGGCATCTTACCTACAAGTCTAAGAACCACCTTTTTTTTTTTCCCAACAGTGGTAATTTGTTTTAGCAGAGCATATTATAAAATTTTAAATGAACAGATGTTTTCATACTTAACAGGAGGAAAATTACAAACAGGAGGGAATGAGCAATTCTCATACAGTCAAGGTGAAAAAGCACACACAAGCTTCTTTCTCTTCTCTATTTGTCTGGCATATATTCCACTGAGTTCTTTAAACTGGAGCATTAGATGACCTTTTCCCCCCTTCTACATTCACAGATCACCCTAAAGTCACTAATGAAATACCTAAGTGTTTAAAAAATTGAGCCTTCAAAGAAGCTATCTTCCACACAGCACTAAAGTTATCAGTTTAGAAGATGCTATCTATTTGATAATATGCTTGTCACTCAAAGAAAATGCCTCTTTCTTCAGAATTCAAAGCACTTCAGGCCAAATTGAGGGATATTTTAAATTCTTCACCGGGGGGTGAGCAAAATGGGTAAGAGGGGGTCAAAAGGTAGAAACTTCCAGTTATAAAATAAGTCATGGGGATGTAATGTCCAGGAAGGATGGTGACTTCAGTTAATAATACTGCATTGCAGATTTGAAAGTTGCTAAGAAATCTTAAAAGTTAATGCAAGATAAAAATTTTCTAACTATGAAAGGTGACAGATGTTAACTAGACTTACCGTGGTGATCATTTGGCCATGTACATAAGCAATGAATCATTATGCTGTACACTTAAAACTAATACAAGGTTATATGTCAACTGCACCTCAATGAAACTAAATAAAAATAAAAATCCTTCATCCCTATTTCCTTTGCTTCTTCTACTTCCATAATCTTAAGTTACATAAAAATCCATCAACTTCAAATGGTTTCTGCGGTCTATGGTCCCAAATGTCATAATAAGTGCTCCCCAGGTGATTCTGACACACAGCAAAGTATATCTGGTGAAAGATTCTTACTGTACACTTAAAAAGTGCTTTTTAGGGAAGAGGCAGAGGAATGTACAGTTGGAGGATTCACCTAGTGAGCAAAAAGCAGTAAAATATGAGGGGAACATGTATGCAATAGGGTATAGGGGAAAAGCCATTCAAATAACAAAGAACGAGTGTGTGTGCAGGTGCACACGCAGGGGTGTGTGTGTGTCTGTCTGTCTGCCTGTCTGTGAGAGACAGAGAGGAATACGTACATGTGGTACGATGTGTGTGACCTCTTTGCAGAGTTTGTTGCTGCCACTTGACCCCATTTGAGAAGCCAGAGCTTGGTGTCACCAAGCATGCCTCCTTCCTGAATCGTGGATTGCTAAATATGTACTTAATCTTTTTTATAACTTCAAATGCCAGTGTCAGTAATTACCTGGCAAATAAAGATAGAATAAAGACCAGACCCTTAAGGAAGAGAAAATTGCATTCTACCCACAATAGTCATTTGTCATGTAATTCAATCATCAGTTTCATTTTGGGTTCCTTGCAGCCAAGTCCTAATAAACCTGTTCATTTTGGGCAAATCCCGAGGCAGGAAACATATTAGGTCATATTATGTGGAACTGTTCTAGCAGATTCAGAACTCAACTAAATTACATAGAGGGCACACCTGGATCCATTGACTAACAAAAAAAAAAAAAATAAGTCCCAGGCACGATGCAACAAGTCCCAACCCAAGCTCACACTCCTTCCCAAGAAGGGAGATCCTTTTTCCAGTGGAGGGAAATATGTTTTCCTATTCCACTAATTGATTAGTTTGTTCACTCATTCACTCATTCATCCATTCAAATACTGCTGAGTGCCCATTAAATGCCAGGTACTGGGCTAGGAGTTAAGGTGCTATGTGAGCAGAAGGGGCACAGCATGGCGTCTAGAGGAGGGAAAACAAGTCATAAAGAAAGTAATTACTAACCACAGAGTGCTGTGAAGAAATTTGTGGTGGGAGCCAGCAACGGGGAGTGACCATGGCTGGGTGGTAGGGGCAGATCTCTCCAAGGAAAGACAGTTCAGCACAAGACAGGTAAGTGGCCTGCCAAGCACGGAACCGAGGATAAGAGCATCAATCACAAAACTTCACAACATTACTACAGGGGTTACCTCTAGGATTGATAGAAATGAAGGAGGAGCAGAGAATTTAGAGAACTTGCCAGCACACTCAAATCAACCAGCTGCCAAACCATGGACCCAGTTCTGAATACAGGCTATAAGTGGCTAAAGGAATAGCATCTCACTGTAAAACCCAATCAAATCATGGCAGGTGACATCTCTCCACTCAAGCCCTAGATGAATCTACCAACTCCGTGGTTACACTTGGCTTATCTTCTCATCTCCTCTTTTCACACTTACAACTCTCTGAAGATGTCAAGGTTTATCAAGGATTTATTATGAACACAGGAGGGCTGAGAAGAAGCAGCCCAGGCACAAGGCTGTCTGGTTCCCTTGCTTGGTTCCATCCAATTCTGGGATGGCTTGATCCTGTTAAAAAGAGATCGGAGCCAATCTGACCAGCACAGATAGCAGCAATCCCCTCATGAACTTCCATGGCAGGAAGGACAAGAAACCATCCACTTGGCACTGTATCTGAAAAAGATTTTTAAGGTATTCCTTTGGGAAAAAACAAGGCATCATTTCTCCCTTTTAAAAAGGCGATAGAGAAAAAGGAAGCTGACTGCCACATCAAGTTAAGTATCTAAACACAATTTAACTGAAATGAAGCACTGCCTGACTCGGGGCTTAGCCTTCACACAAGAAAAAGTCCTTATGAAACCACTAATCTTTTGAGCGGCTTGTCATAAACTTAGGTCACTGAGCCAGCCCTGCTTCTGCCAAGCAGCATAGCAGCTTAGCCCTTTAAGAAAAGATTTACTAAAAAACAGTGATGCCTAACTTTTGCCTTTATGATTGATGAACATACCAATTCCTATCTTGCTAGAACCTGTTACACACAAACTAGCAAAATGATTAGAAGTGTCAGAATTTGCAAAAGGACCCAGGGAACCACTCATTCAGCCTTGTATAAGTTATGGCTGTTCTGAGCACCAGTGTTCAATATAAAGTCATATGTGCTTATGTGCTCAGTCACATCCGATTCTTTGCTACCCGACTGTGCTCCTCTGTCCATGGAATTCTCCAGGCAAGAACACTGGAGTGGGTTACCATTTTCTCCTCCAGGTAATCTTCCCAACCCATAGCTCAACAAAGTCATAGGAGAACTGTAAAAGGATTAATTCCACTTTCATGAGAACATAATGTGGGAAGCATGTACACATTTTTCAAGTGTTAATCTTAGAAAAATTTGTCGATTTTTTAAAGTTTGGAGAAATAGTATTAAAATGTATTTACCAGAAGTAGGCAGAATAGATAGGGTGTCTTGTTATAGGATCTTGACGGCACATCACTGAAAGAATGATTTCTCCAGTTAGGGTATCCATAATGGGAAAATGCATTTTAAGACAAATGAAACAAGACACCATTGGCTATGCCAAATGTTTCATCTATCTTTTTTGAAGACTGTATCTGGGCCTAAGTAATGTGTTCCCTGGAGCATGCTAGCAACACGGAAACTACAAAGGCCTCCTTGCCCAACAAGCCTCAACACAGAATACCAGTCCTCCGGGCTTGCTTCAAAGAGGATAACCTTGAATTTGTCCTAGCTAGTTAGTGCTTATCAAAGGCTCAATTGAGGAACGTGATATTTACGAAAGATTATCTAACAGACTTATTTTCCATCTCCACCTAGTCTAGGTGCTAGCCTTGAATCAACTTCCAGGCACAAGACTTGAATCCTTTTATCTCTGTCTTTTCTACTCCTAAAGAATTACCTTTGCTAATTTATAATAATCTAATGGCTGCAGTTTTTACCAAGCAGTATTTGTTGCAAACACAACACAGAACAGTTTCCATGATCATATTTACCAAGTCCTTGCTGGACATTTTTTTAAAAATTTATTTAATTCTTTGAAGAATTTGTATGGTTTTGCTCCTCTGATAGTGAAAATTATATCACCAACTGTGTTTTCCTTTTACCTAGAGATTACAGTGAAATACAACAATCTTGTCCTAGTCAACTGGTTCTTAATGTTAGACTATTTGTTTTCTCCTTCCCATGATACAAACTATTTCTGATTTAGTAATATATTCCTTATTATCTGTTAATATATAAACATGCTATTTTACATGTACTAATATTTACAGCTCCTATTGTGATATTCTTTATCTAACTTGCTAGATCAAACCTTTTTGGAAGGAAGAAAGGTATAAATAAAACGACATGAAAACACACTTGCAACATGCATCCTCTGCATGAACTGACATGAACGTACCCCCAAATTAATCACATAAAACTTCAGATCACACCCCTTTGAAGTGGGATTGTCTAATCAGCTCCGTTTGGCACACCAAACAGAACAGTACTCTGTGGAGAGGACTTGCCCAAAGGCAGAAACCCAGGGGAAGCAGTGCAGATGCCAATGCACAAGTCAGCACCACTTCCCAACCAAGACCCTGCCTGGAAATCCGAATGACTGTACTCAGTTCAGGTTACCAACCTCCTCGCCACTGGCTATTCGGTGAGCCAGATCTTTTAAGTTTCTCATCATTCTTTCATCCCGAAAATCGTAAGGAAATGTTTCTGTCCATTCTGTCAGGAGTTGAAGAATCTTCGGTGCAATTTTTCTTATCTGATTCTAGGGAGGAAAAGCAAATTGAATTCAGTAATAGCTAGCAAATAAATAATTACAATGTTACTGATAAACTTCTAGGGCAAAGTCTTTGAGGCTAAAGAAGCTCTAGTCCCCCTCTCCCAAATCAATGTCAACTGCTACCAACTTCAGGAAGGACCTAGGGATCTTCCATGGCACTAGACTTATATTTGTTCTTTATATCATTCCCCATTTCCTTTGCATAGCCATGATACTCCTCAGCCCAGGGAGGAGTGATGGTTACTTCAGGAGACCAACTTCACAAGATTTAAGCCATAAAGCTACCAAACCCAATAAAAAAGAGTAAAGTTCAAAATATATCATTACCTTATCACTATTAGGATCACTTAGTCTCTGGTGCTCAACACACAAGTGGCAAACTTTGGCCATTAGCTCATACGGATGCATAAATAACCGAGAACTCAATAGGAAGGTAAATATGTATGTTCTCTGTGGCAAGAGAAAAAAAAAGTTATCATGGTTAGATCCTACATCTGAAACTAGCATCTTCCCTAAACATGATACATCATATATCAAGTTCTCCTGATCAAAGTGAAAATGCTGTAGTTTCAAAAGTGATGCTTACTAGGAGGAAAACAAGATGGATTTCTCCTTTACCTTCTGATATATCTTCTCCCTTAAACCATACTAAAAATAACAGAAGTACAGGATAAACTGAGCTACTAAATTATTCACAGCACATTTTTACATCTATCCTCTGGAGTCTGCATATCAGGAAATATAACTCAGCCCAGTAAAGAAGAATGAAATTCAGCCCATGGAGATCAATCTAACTTACTACACACACCACCCATACAGAATCTTGTTCTGCATCCAAATATTATGGTAACTCAATGGAAATTAAAAAACAAAAAGCAAAAAACCACCCAACCCACATCAGTTCAAGAATTTTCCAGTGGGTCCAGTATTACACACTGGAGCATTTGTGTGCTTGTTAGAATATTCAAAGACAGGCGTTCAAGTCATCTGTTCACTTGCTCAAAGGCTAAGCAGTTTGATAAAACATAATATCACACTATATACTTTTCTTTAAGCACACTGTCTCCCAAGAAGCCAGTAATGAAGTAATGCTTATTTGTTATAATAGCTTCAGACTCCCAATAAAAAGAAAAATTCCATGGGTTTTTTCTCCCCCTGAGGCACCCTTTTATAGCTCATAAACACTTACAGGGCTGAACAAGGGATGCCTTTTACTTTTGATTACAAGTTTTCCCTGTGTGGCAACATATTTGAAAATGTTATGTAACAAATCACACAGAGAGAGAGAGAGCTTTGGAAGAAACACTATGGTGAACTCCAGTGGCAAGCACAGACTATCGTTTGCACACCAAGGTCGTCATTATTTTTATAAAAGCATTTGAATCCAGTGTCTGGTTATTTTCACTAAATCTTTATCAACAAGCAGCTGTTGAGCAACGGGGTCAGCCACAGCACAAAGGAAGTGGGAAGAGACATCACTTGCTCTAGAAATAGAAAACCCAGGTTTGATGGCTGATGTTGTGCATGAGACCATGTGCCAACTGAATCCCAAATTTCAAATTTTTTCTCTCTGAGTCTCTTGGAATTGCTCTAAAGACTAAGAAAATACAAATGGATTTCCTGAATTAGAAAGGATCACCTTTCAAATATCAGGGATTAAAGGAAAACGTAAGCATATTATCTGATGTCCAATCTACAAAGAACTGCATCTTGAATGTAACTCGTGTTCTCTTTTCTACGAAGCTTCCCTGTGTCGCTTCACCTTTCTCAGCATAGTGATGGTCTCGGAAACCAAAAAGGCCCTAAACCTTCGAGAAGCATCCAAGGTTCTCTGGCATTTCTATTTAAGGATCACAGTACACGCACGAGTCAAACCTTATAGTTATTTCATTTAGATGGTTTCAGACTGTCTACCCTGTGATGCCAACCCTGAAAAGAAAAGTGATATGCAGACCTATCATATTCAGGCTCAACTAAATCTCAAAGCACTCAATAATCAACATGCAATTTCTTGTTAGAAAAACTCTTAGCAACCCAGATATAATTCTGTAGCATCCAGGGTCCCTGTGCATTCTATTGTAATTTCTGCTGGATACCAAGGATGCATTTCAGAAACAGGTGAATACTTACATCCGGATAATAATCCACATTGGGTACCAAGTGCTGGATAAGCGCTTCCAGAGACCCGGAGAGGAGGTTGTTGTCATGGTAATACAACCCTCCACAGCTATCCTCTGCAGACTGATAAAGGTTTCGGTTGTAACCACTGCTGTCAAACATGGCAGAAAACGGAGGAGTCTGAGGCATGCTTTCCTAAAATGAATAAGAAAGGAAGAAACAAGTTGTCAGTAATAGGCAGTCCCAAAGAAAAGTAAACTTTAATAGGCACGAGGCTTTCACAGTCATGAAGAAGCAGGCAATTTTTAACCCAGATTACGAAACAATCTCAGAACCCATCAAGAAGCACACTGCTTTTGAACAGCACATGAATGCATATTTTTGAGTACCAAACTTGTCCAATAAAATACCATGAAATACTTGGATCAAAGGCTCCAATCTATACCTAAAGTCAAGTCTCTGGCTGCTGTGTTTAGATCTTAACTCCTTCACATTTGGTTAGGAAGGCAGGGATGGGGGCTGAGCTTTAAATTGCTTTCTCCTCCCAGTAAAATATCATCCTAAGGTGGAAGCATGTACCTTCAAAGTTGGCAGGAAAGAATTACATAATGCTTAAGAAATATTGAAATAGCACTGGGCATATTAGGAGATAACCTAAAAAACTGAAAAACTAAAACCTAAAAGAAGCCTAGAATTAAAGTGTGTGTGTGTGTGTGTGTGTGTGTACATATGTGTGTGTGTGTTTATGTCTTGTTTAGTCGCTAAGTCACATCTGATTGTTTGCAACCCCACAGACTGCAGCCTGCCAGGCTCCTCTGTCCATGGGATTTCTCAGGCAAGAATACCGGAGTGGGTTGCCATTCCTTTCTCCAGGGGATCTTCCCAACTCAGGGATTGAACCAGAGTCTCCTGCACTGCAGGTAGATTCTTACCAGTGAGCCTCCAGGGAAGCACTGTGTAAGTTTATAGAGGCATATATGTATCAGGAGATTTAATGCCGACTCCCCAGCTTTCACTGAAGTCTGATGCTATTCATTTTTGCCCCTTCGTGTCAAATTCTTTCGGGGTGAAGGGCTCTATAAAGCCTCAGTGCTCAGTAAACACACAGGCTGAGAAAGCACCCGAAGAGGAACAAGGAGCGCTGTGAGGTCCTCTCCCTCTGTGTGCCTTCCTGTTCACAAAGCCCTCGTAAGACGGTGTTTGGTGGCGGCCAGAGGCTCTTAAGTTATTACTTGGATCCCGAGGGACGAGCTCCTATGCCCAGAACAGACTCCCGTTTCCGGCAGCCCGTCTGGACAATGGAGGCATTTAGGAGCTGCAGAGATGGAGGGTTTCGGAGGCAAACAATGAGGGAAAGACAAACTCCAGGGCTTGGACTGACAGGCCCAGGGTGTTTGGAGGCTGCAGGAGGACACAACCTGGACTAATCCTTCTTTCCAAGAGGCTTAAGATATTTGCATCTGAATAGTGGCAGGGAGGGGGGCTATACATCCCTCTCCAAGCACCTCTGTCCCAGGTCCCCCCCCTTGCCACGTGCCTGGGCAGGGGGCCGCCGGGGCTGGGGTGCTGGGAACAAACAACACCCACTGTAAAGCCGCCCTGGCAGGTGAAATGGCATTTAGGGAAAGAAGCATCAAGAAAGTGAAAAAGGAGAAAAGTAATAACTTCAGTATTTTGTGGTCCATCCCATCCATAAACCAAGAGAGGGAGAACATAAAACCATCCACGATGAAATAGCACAGAGAAAGATAAACCTCATATGATACTGCTTATATGCAGAGTCTTAAAAAGCGATATAAATGAATTTATTTACAAAACAGAAACTGACTTACAGACATAGAAAACAAACGTCTGTGTTTACCAAAGGGGAAAGTAGTGGTGGGAGGTGGTGGTGGGGATAAATTAGGAATTTGGGATTAATTGATATGCATTACTACATATAAAATAGATAAACAACAAGGACCTACTGTATAGCTCAGGGAACTATATTCAATCTCTTGTAACAATCTATAAAGGAAAAGAATCTGAAAAAGGAATATCTTTTTCCAGTAGTCACGCAGGGATGTGAGAGCTGGACCATAAAGAAGGCGGAGCACCGAAGAACTGATGGTTTCAAACTGTGGTGTTGGAGAAGACTCTTAAAGAGTCCCTTGGTCAGCAAGGAGATCAATCCAGTCAATCCTAAAGGCAATCAACCCTTAATATTCTCGGAAGGACTACTGCTGAAGCTCAACACTTGAGCCACCTGCTGTGAAGAGCCAACTCATTGGAAAAAGACCCTGATGCTGGGAAAGACTGAGGGCAAGAGAAGGGGGTGACAGAGGACAAGATGGTTGGATGGCATCACCAACTCAATGCATATGAGTTTGAGCAAGCTCCAAGAGACAGTGCAGGACAGGGAAGGCTGGTGTGCTGCAAAAGAGTCAGACATGATTTAGCGACTGAATAGCAGCAGTATATTTACATGTAACTGAATCATTTTATTGTGCACCTGAAACTGACACAACACTGTAAATCAACTACACTCCAAAAATATTGTCACAGATGGGAAGAAAGTGAAGACTGAGAGTCACTCTGTCTGGGGAGACCGGTAACCACCAGAGTCATCACTGCCATCCCTCTTGCTTGGGCAGCACATGGTCATAATGGCCAAGGGACCAGGAACAATCAGATGTAGACGTTAACACAAATGCTCTCCACTTAGTTGGTAAGATCTTATACACAGGAATCACAGTTAAATAAACAACTCAATGCTAACATTTTATAAGGCAATGGACAAAGTATGCTTCTGTCCTTTTCAAACTGCCAGTTGTCAATGGGTCTGTTTCACATGCAATATCATCTTTGCAAATGGGTTGTCCCTGGTGGGAAGAAAAACAAGAGACCATCTGCCCTTGCCCTGAGAAAGTCAAAACGTCCTTAAACTGGGACACCAGAGACTGAGATGAGAAACATCCAAAAGTTACAGCGTGGAAGGAATCTTCCATTTGGATGTGGTCACCTGCCTCTGGCTTAAAAAAGCTTTAGATGGTTAAAACCACACTGTATCCTTGGCATCCAAGGTTGACAAGTGGAACTCACTCCATCACGTCCTTGAAGGTTTTCTTTTTCCCCTTCTGCCAAGAATCATGAATTTTCCTTGATTTTTCCACTGACTCATTGCTACTGAAACCATCATAGTAAAGTGCTTTGGGGAGACAGCTGGCCAGGAGTTGGGAATTTCAGACAATCAGAAAGTGCCAAAAGTTCAAAAGGACCATAGGAAATCAGCTAGTCGAAGATAGAAATAGGTTTCATTTCACTTTCTAACTGCAATCCATCTGAAGTGGTTGCCCAGAGGCCCTACAAAGAGTAAGGATTCAAAGGCTGTAACTAGGTGGGGAGCATATGCGAAGGGATTAGCATCTAAGGCTGTAACTAGGTGCTAAGGGATCAGCAAAGACTGCAAAACAGTTCTGCAAGAAGCCAAACTCCAAGAGCCACGACAGTCAGGTCCACTCTCCTCTGTCAACCAATGCACAAACTGAGACCCTATGCAGTGAGGTGAAGTGACCAGATTAGGACCACACAGTCACGTGGCTACAGCATCAAGTGAGCCCAATGGAACTTTCTTGCATCTTGCACACACAGACCCCTGTGGCCTTTGGTTGATTGCCAAGAATCACTAACCCACAAAATGGTCATAAACTACTCAGAATTCCCTTTCAAAAAATCAGCACCAAAAGTACTTCTTAATTATTTGCTCCCATAAAGCGGACAAGGCTCCAGATCTGGACAAGGATGCGGACTGTATGAAGCCCTCATCGGGGGCTTAAGAGCCTTGAAAACTTTAGAGAGTAACTTACTCACCACTAGATATAGTCTTCACCTGGAAAATTATTTCCACTTTTTCTCTCTCCTTCCAAAATTCTAAATAATAACAAACTACCAATTTCCTTTATGGCAAGGTTAGAGCATTTTTTTAGAGCAATGACAAAAGGCATTCGTATTGTTCCTGGGAAATGTGTACAAAAGTATCAACACACCAAAAAACGCCAGGTACCAAAAGAAAATACTGCAAATAGCAAAGAATGGTAAACTGAGATAAGTTAATTAAGGTTTTATTTACTAAAAATCAAGTTTTACTTTACAAAAATCAATTTAAGAAAAGACCATGTCACTGGTTGCTTTCTGCCTTCTAATTAGCCCAAAGTTCTGTTGCTGATCAGCTGATTGATATGACCACAAACCATCTTGATAATCCCACTTGCATTAAGTGTTTCAAACCCAGGACTTCACATTCCAGGTTCAAAATTTACAACTCTGCATCATGCTATACTGCAAATGGTCTTCTTTGAACTTCTAATGTTTACCCATAAAATGAAAAGCCTGTCAGTCTGTCCCAAATTGTAGTCTATTAGAGTAATTTATATGCTTCACAAGTTCTATATAAATCCTCGCTCCAAAGACGTATGAAATACCATTAATTACTCTTATTAAAAAGCAACACTGTCAACAGAAGTATTTAAGATACTGACCTTTGCCATCAAAGAATAATCCCCTCTAGTCAGAGATTTCAGAGATGCTAATATACACTTCTTTGTATTTTAGTTTCTTTGAAATTGGGATTCATTAGATAGTTGAGTGACAAGAAAACACATTTAACCATCAGTCTTCTTTTTAGCAATATATAAAAGAGCATCTTATAATGGGTGACATCTTAGATTCATTGAAATACAGTAATATTTGCTTGTGTGTACTTTATAGAGTTCCAGTAAAAAAAAAAAAAAATCTGATGAGATAAAATGACACAAAGAAAGCTCATAGATCACAGCAGGCATCCCTAATTTCTGGACAATCTCTAGCAAGTGGCCAGTCTGTTTTCTGGAAAGATCAACTGCCTTGTGTAATAGCTGTATTTGTTAAACAAGGGGAAAGGTCAGCAGAACGGCACAAAAAGCACTGATTGTGAAGTGGATTTTTAAATACTTCCAAAGATAAACATAGTGGAATTTTTTTCTCTCAAGTATCTCTCCTCTTGTTACCCACATCAGGAACTACTGTTTATTTAGCATTACTCAAACTTGATGTCCAAGACTTTAGTTTGACTTGCTACAGTTCTAGAAGTAAATAGGGAAGCTCAGAAGATTAAATATTGGCTTGGTTTTTGTTTAAGAAAACAAATTCGCAGAATGTCAAAGTACTGGACA